TCTAGCTGCACGAGCGCCCCAATGCCGCCAGCGCTTCCTGCAGGCCTGCCGAGGCGGAGCGCCGAGAGCCCCGGCCTCCGTTCTCAGTGGTCTGCAAAGGAAGCCCGGCTTGCGGGGCGCAGAGGAGAGCCCTCGGGTCCTCCAGCAGGCGTTCTCCGGTGAATTGGCACGTTGCCTGGCCTGTCACTTGTCTGACTGCGTGCATCTCACCTCTTGAAGCCGCCTTTATTTCGCGGGATACGTTGGGGATTCCGAGACTGGGATTTCAGATTTCTGAGCCTCAGTTTTCTCATGAACATAAAAGGGACCAATGATAATACCTCCTTCCCTGGGTGGTTCTATGGAGCGAGGGAGCTAATGCATACGTAGCGTACATCTGGTCCTTGAGACGATCCTCTGGGGTGGGTAGAGCAGTGGTTGCACCTTACTGGGCACATTGCTGCGCGCCAGGTGGTTTTCGAAGCCCTGGGATCCTGTGCGACTTCGTGCTTCTCAAGGAGTCCAGGGTCTCAGAGGAGCCAGGCGCCCGCCCCAACACACTGTGCCGCCAAGATAATGGGAGCCATGACTGTGGAAGCACAGGGGGCTGTGCCAGCCCAGAAGGGACATTAAGGCAGAGCAGCAGGAACTGGAAGGAAGATTTCCAGGATGAAGTGAGACTTGGAGGACAAGAGAACCGCCTTCCAGGCCACGCACTACTCGGGATAGACTGGGGATGTAACTCGAGCCTCTTCCTAGCTGAAGCATCTTGGGCAGCTTATTGAAGACCTCTGTCAAATGGGCGTAAGGATACCCAACTTTTTAGGATTAAATGAGCTAACGCACCTATAACAGAGACTCATGTGTATAGTAAGCCTTCCATAAGTGTTAACTATTCTTGTTAGATGCCCTGGCCCAAACGCCTGATGTCGCTTAGCCTCAGGCTCTGTTTGGTTAGGCCTGGGTAGGAACAACTGTGGGAGGTGAGGCTGGGGAGAGGCCAGAGCATGGAAGTGAGGCTGCCCAACCAAGGGCAGTGGGGGCTACCAAAGGGGTTTGAAGTAGGAGAGGGGTGCTGACCAATTTGTGCTTTAGAAAGATTATTTTAAAGGCAAGGTGGAGAAAAGGGTGGGGGGCCTTGGAAACCATTTAAGAGGCAGTTGTCCTGCTAATGGGGCCCAAATTAAGGCAGTAACCTCGAACTAGAGAAGAATACAAAGGCATTGGGTCAGAACTTTCCAAATGTGCCAGGTATAAGAATCACCTGAGGTGTGTCTTAAATAGTCAGATTCCGGGCCAACCCCACACCTGCTGAAAAAGTCTTTCAGAGACCCAGAAATTAAGTGGTACAAGAACTGAGACTATCAGGGCTGCCAAACCTCCATGTGCATGCGTCATCACCCAGTGAGCCCTTTTTATTGTAGATTCCTGCCACCCCCGTCGGTTGTGATTCAGAGGCTCTGGTGCAGGAGGTTAAGGAAGGAACCTGCTATGAGAAACGGGACTGTTGTCCTCAGGAATCCTTACATCTCAGGACTGCTGACTAGATGTGGAGGGAAATCGGCGGCCAGGTGACTTCTGGTGTCAAGTTCTGGACAAGACTGGCGTAGGTTGAAGGATTCACTGTGCCTTAGTGATGGCTTGTTTATCCCTTTGTACAGCTGGAGAAGTGGAGGCTCAAATACAGCTTGCCTGAGGTCATGCAGTCATTGAGTGGCAGAAGCAAAGCTAGTATTCAAATGTTTTTAATGGTTGCTTTTTCAGGGCCTTCTGTAACTGACCCCTGGGGGAGCAGCTGGACTGATGGGGGGGGCTAAGGGGAATGAAGCAGTAGGCTACAGCTCAGCCAGACACAGCTTCTGCATTCTCCTTGGATGGTTCTGCCTTTTCCCCCCATCTGTGCTGGGTGGATAACGGAGGTGACTGGTTACAGCCTCACTTACCTCAGAGAAGCCCAGGTGTGTACCTGTGAGCACCTGGGAGGGAGACCCAGATGTGAGCCCTGAGTGCGCCTTAAGACTCTCAGCTGTATCATGTATCAAATGAGTGAGTGT